GCAACTTTTCGCCGCCTCGCGCGCCTGCCGGGCGAGCGCGCGGTGGCCCTTCGCGGCCTCGGCCCGGCTGCAGCTGAGGGCGTGCGAGCCCGCGGAGTCAAGCAGCGAGCAGCCGAAGTGGTGGCAGGGAATGGGCTCGCTGGGGCCAGCGGCGCCCAAGCGTCGCTGGAGCGCCTCGACGAAGTCCAGGTGGTCGAGCACGGGCCCATCGTGCTGGCTCAAGGCCCACAACCACTCACGGTTGGCGTCGAGGTGGCCGAGGTCCTCCAAGCGGCGCAACGCTGGGGCGTTTCCGGCCTGCGCGCGGCGCTCGCGTAGCTCCAGCCGCGCCTGCGCGTCCAGGCGGGCAAAGATGGACCGCCGTAGCCGGGCGCGCCCGCGGGGGGCAGCAGCGGGGTGCTCATCCTCCACCCCCTCGTCGAGGGGGGCGATGCCGCTGCCATGCTCTGGGGCCAGCCGTTGCGCCTGGGGGCGTCGTCGTTGGCGGGAGCGCCTGCGTCGAAGGGGCCGGCCCATCGTTCCTCGCTCTGGTCGGCCTCGTCGGCGAGGAGGTCAAGGCGCTGTCTGCCGGGGGCGGGTGGGAGGGGCCCGACCAGGGTGACTGCGGCGTCTTCCGCGCGCCCGTCGTAGGCCGGCATGGCCGCGGCCGCGGCGCGCAGACCCGCCCGGGCAAGGTGCTCGGCCATCTCGCGGGCGCGCGGGCGGGAGCTCACGCGGCTGGCGAAGAAGGCGGCGGCGCACGCTCCGCGGCGCGCAGGCCGAGGCCGCCCCAGGGGGGCGCCAGCAGTGGCTTGCTCCCAGGCGTCGTCAGGCAGCTCGCGGCCGATGATGGTCTCCACGGCGGTTCGAAGGTCGCGGTCGACGGTGGCGAGTCGGTCGTGTCCGATCCTGTCACCGCCGAGGCGCAGCTGGTCGGAGAGTTTCGACACGCCGGCGCACAGGCGAGTCACGGCGAATTCGGCGGAGGCGTGGTTGACGCTCAAGAGCGTGAGGCGGGCAACCCGGGTCTTGTCCACGGCAGATTTGACCTCGTCGTCCGGCGCCTCGTCGCCGCCGAAAGGGGCACCTAACGCGAGCGTGGGGCCGCGCGGGTCGAAGATTTGGCAGGCGGTGGACGTAGTTCGCGTCCCAGCCACCGTAGACGCGGCGCTTGTCCGGGGGGCAGAGCAGGCGGCAAGAGTTCTTGGCCGTGCCCGCAGCGACAGCGCCACGGGTGCCGCCGAAGCGCGCGAGGGCGGCGCCCAGCGCCCTGAGCCAGCGGTCGAGGTCAACCGGCCGAACGAACACTTGTCCGTCGTCCACGAACCACTCCTCGCACGCCCGCGGGGCGGCGGCGGCGGCAGCCGGGGCGACCGCGTCGGGGGCGCGCCCCAGGGCCGGCGCAGCGGCCGCAAGCGTCTGGGGAGCATCTTGGGTGCCTCGGGGATCCTCTTGAAGCCTCTTGGGGGCCTCTTGGGAGCCTCTTGGGCGCCTCTTCTTGGGGCCGTCTAGGCGCCTCTTGGGGCCCTCTGGGGGCGGTCTTGGGAGCCTTGGGGGCGCTTTTGGAGCCATCTTGGCGATCATCGCTAGGCTGGGCGCGCCCGCTGGAGGGGCCCGAGCCGGGGGCGGCGGGCGGGGGCTGGCCCGCAGCGGCGCGCGCGGGCGCAGCGGCGGTGAGGGTGGGCACTCGCGCAGCCGCGAGGGTGAGCCCAGCCTGGGCGGCGCCGAACCCGCCCCCTTGCTCGGCCCCGCGGTCAGTGTCGAACAGCTCGCCAGAAGGCAGCTCGGTGGTGGAGGGCTCGCGGTGGTGCCAGTTCGCCCAGGCAGCGATTTCCGGGAAGGCGCCCGGGTCGATCGCGCCGCGCATCGAGTCCTATTCCACAACATCGAGGGCCACGAGAGCGGGGATGGCCCCGGCGACAACCAGCTCCTCCACGGTGCCGCGCCAATGCGCCATCGTTCGCAAGCGCCGGGGATCCCGACGCCCCACTGGTGCGCTTGCCGGAACACCGCTCGTAGCTCGTGCAAGTGTTTTTTGTGTAGCGTTTGGCGAAGGAGCTGCGGAAGACTTCGCCCATCTTGATGGGCCGTGGCTTCCCGTTCCGCTTCTTCTGCCACGCGAGACGAGTTTGGACAAACCAACGCATGGACTCGTGGAGGGCGCCTTCGCGCATGGCGGCGTGGAGGCGGTTCAGTGCGCGACGCGCGCCGGCGGCCTCGCGGCCTCGCGGCCGCACGGCACGGAACACAGTTTCTCGAGGTGTTCTGGTCTCGTGCCCGCGAGGCCGGGGGCGGTGAGCTTCAGCCAGCGGACGCCGTCGAGGGGGTTGCCGTTGGCGTCGCCCTGGTCGTCGTCGTAGTCGTCGCCGCGGGCGGCCAGCGCAGCAGGTTCGTCGGGCGGGCCGCCCTCTGCTGGGAGGGGCGGCGCCGGGGGGCCAGCAGGCCCGAGCGGGGCGGCTGGCAGATCGGGCGGCCCGCCAGGGGGCCTCGGCAAGGCGGCGGCGAGGGCGCGGCCCGGGCGGTCGGTCCAAAGGGGGAGTTGCCGTGCGTAACGGAAGTCCTCCTCGGCAGTGGTCTGCAGGGTGTCGCTCGTGAGGGCGAGGGGGCCTCGCGGAAAGCCCGCTCGGCAGCGAGGTGTTTAGCTCGCTGGCGCTCGCCTTCGGAGTCGGCGGTGTCGCCGCGACGCCTGCGCTTGACCCGGGCGGCTAGGGCCCGCTGCTGCTCGAGGCGGCCCAGCAGCGCAGCGCAGCGAAGTCCCCGGTCCCCCAGAGCCCCAGGCGGCGCAGCGGTTCCAGCATTGCAGGGTAGCGCAGAGGAGGCGGGAGCGGCAGTTGAGGGGCACGCGGGCGCAGGCATTGCGGCTCAGAGCGCGGACGCGGCGGGCGAAGTCGGGCGGAAGGGCGGGCGCGCCAACGACGGGACTGTCGTCGAGGACAACGGCGTCAGCAGCGGGTTGCGGGGTGTCTGGGGCGGCTGCGGCGTCATCGCGGCCTTGCGCGCGGCGCGCAGCGGCGGCGGCGCCTGCGATGATGTCCCCGACGACTGGGGGGCGGCAGGGCGTCGGCTGCCGGCACCGGGTGCACGTGCGTTGTCCTGGCGGGCGGAGGCCACTGCAAGTGGAGTCGGTGCGCGCGCTGCGCTGGAAGGCAACGATTGCATCGCGCATGTTGGCGTCCATGGCGCGGCCAGTGCGCGTCGCAGTGAGGTGCCGCACGAAGCCGCCGGGCGTGCGTAAGCCTCGGTCCGGGCACCGAGGGCACCAGAAGTGTCCATTGCGAAAGGGCACGTGACGGGCGGCGTTGGGGTCGGGAGGCTGCGGCTTCTGCGAGACGCAGCAACGTTCACACTCGAGGAGGGGCCACTGTGGAAACAAGCTGACTGTGCAGGCAGATTCCTGCGTCCGCCGTGCGGATGCCACATTGAAATCGTGGCTGTCCATGGTCCAAACGACCATTCAGAGTGAAACGTCGCGCGACACCACTCAAGGAGCTGGAACACATAACCATGCGTGACAGAATGTCGGAATATACCATTTGCCTCATATGCCACGGAAGACCCAAGGAGGAGAAGCAAGTGAAGACAGAAAACAACTAAGGTGTTTTTTTATTGTTTCAAGACTTCGCGGAATCGTTCTAGGAAGGCCTTCTCAAGGCGCGCTGCAAAACGCCGAATATGGGCAGCGCGGCCCGCCGACCCCCCCCCCCCCCCGGTGTCGGGTGGGATGAAAAAGCAGTCTGGAACTGATGCGATACAGTTGGGATTGATTGGAGAGGACGCGCGAAAGGACAGAAGACCCTTCCGAGGGCCACAATTGCCATAGGAACGTGGAAGCTCCGTGGGTCGCGAATCACAGGACACGAAGGGATCCTTTAGTTGGAAGGGTCGACCTGCTAATCTCGGGGATGGACAGACCTCCTTTAATAAAACGTGGTTTAGTGAAAACGACCTGAGGCCCAAACCTGGCGGGCGCAAGCCTGGAAAATAACGGCCGCGGCTCCCTCTCGAGAACCGAAAACGGACAATTCACTAATCGACGCGTCACTGTTGGGGGTTCTGTCCACCCCCGAAGGGGATCCTTTAGTTGGAAGGGTCGACCTGCTAATCAACCTCGACTGTGCGCCAGAGGCGGCTCTAGAACGGAAGCCAGGACATCGCTCCACGGAGGCGGCCCCCAGACAGCGCGCCCGTCCGGAGCTGGCCTCGTCTTCGGAGCCTGCCGCGCTCGTCGCCGCTGCTTCAGAACAGGGCCGGGCTGGACCTCAACAGTGCTTTTTGTCGGTTTTCGTTTCGTGCTCGCTTCCCCTCGTTTTGTCTCGAATTCGCCTTCGCTGCAAAACGACATCGAAACGAAAACGGCCCACGAAATCGCCAAAACACCGTTTTGGTCCACCCCGTGCTCCAGAATTTTTGGCCGGAACGGATTAGATGGTCATGTCACCACAGAAGAGCAGGTCATCAGGAGGTGCTGGAATATAATCAGCGGGCGCGTGCAAGTCCATTCTCCACGGCCAGCGCCCAAGGCCCAGAAGTGCACGCCGTGTGCGTGAAGAGCGTGGGTCTCGCAGTGCCCGTTGCAAGCGTGATAGTTCTGGATCACAACGTCGTACATTGGGCCGATATCCATCACGAAGTAGTTGTGTTCTTCAGAGATCTGGTCTCTGTTGATGCCGAAGTAAAAAAGATGCGAGAGTGGGCGTGTTGCTGCCCATCCACGACCTCCTCCCCAAGAGACACCGCAGGTTCTTGGTGTTTCCTGCAGAGTCGCAATTGTCTTGGGGACTGTCCCCAGGGCCACCAATGGCCACTGTGAGGTCGTTCGCAGAGGGCACGCCGTTGTACGTCGCTGTGTGGTCCATGCGCTCCTGCGTGCTAAGAAAGTAGAATGTTCGCTGGACAAGGCTGTCGTGTGGCACTGCGGGGATCGCAGTGTCCCCCGTGTAGAATCATCTGATTGCCTGCTGGAAATCGAAGCTGAAATTGTTGTCGTGCCACGCGGGTGTTGACGCGTTGGCAATATCTGGTTACGCGCTCTGGGATGCTGCACCCACGCGCTCGATGATGGCGTAACCTGTTCGCTGTGAGACGCTGACTCGCTGGCCCGAGTTGAGGTCAACGGTGTCCGGGGTGTGCTTCTGCATGGTCATGCCGTCCACCTCGATCACTGTCATGCTGTGGTTCTCAATGGCCACGCTGAGGAGCGACAGGCTGCCTCCGTTGATGAAGCGAAGGAAGTACGTCTTCCCCGCCGTTTCCTGCGTCGTGAAGTATCCTGGGCGAAGGCTGGAATCGCATGAAGGTGGATGGTACAACAGCCTGTACCAAAGACTCCGCTCCGCACCGCACACCTCGCGCTCTCCCTCCATGCAGGTCCCCCCGTCACACGAGTAGAGGGCGTTGTCGCTGCAATCGAAATGCCACTGCCCGTCCACCAAGACAGACTGCGGGTCTCCAACCCACCTGAACCGTGGCTCGAGAACTCCAACTCCCTGGACGAGCTGCGTCTCCTCCGCCAGCCACCAATCCTTCAAGTGCATGAGCACCTCGCCGCCATCGGCTTTGCTGGAAGGCTCCTCCGAGTCCAGCAACCCGCATGCTACTAATGCGGCCGTGGCACTGGTACAAGCCGGGGTGCTCGTTTACAATGAACTTATACACCCACCTGCTTCCAGTCGGGATTGGACACTGGCTGATCATGGAGCCGCCGTCGTGCCAGGGGCCGCTGTCCGCGTGGACCATGCCATGCCAATGGACTGACACGGCGTTTGACAACATCTTGTTCACAACTGTAATCTCCACCTCCTCGCCCGGGTCTACCTCAATGGCTGGGCCTGGGATCGAATGGTTCGCGTTAACGACGAGGCGGTCCACGCAGTCAGGAGACCCGAACTCGTGGCGGATTCCCAGCGAGGTCACATAGACGGCCCTTGTCGGAGGTAGCAGCGTAGCAAAGACGCACAACCACGCACAGGCCATTTGCATGCTGGACAACGCCCGCAGTCCCAGAGAACGCTTCGTATTTGAGCTAAACTAGCTTGAGCAAAAATGGCTGCGGTGGGCCGTCTTGGTGCGTCTGGGGGGCCTCCTGGGCCGCTCTTATTCCATATGGGCCGTCCGGAACCATTTTGGCCCACCATTTGTTACCTATTTGGAAACGACCCGGAAACTCCAGGGGGGCCGGGGAAAATCTGGAGAGGCTCCCAGGAGGCCCCGGGAAGGGCCCCGGTGAGGGGAAGGCGGACTCAGTGTATTTCAGTTGCCTCTGGTGGTCTCGGCCCGGAAGCCCCTGGGGCACAGGTTTTCCAGCATATTGGAGATATGTGCGTACAGGTGCACAGGCATAAAAGGTAAATCCGAAAGCGCGAGTTGGAGTTTTCTTTGGGTCCTCGATCCTGTCCTAACTCATTGGATTATCGAGTGGCCTGGACCTTAGATTGCCGTATTCTCCGAGGCTTCCCGCGCGCCTCCTGGAGCTTCCCACATATCCCCGCTAGATCTTGTGGGAGGCCAGTGAGCTCCAATGCGGGCCGAGAGGGTCCAAAGAGACCCCGAGTCGGCCAAAGAGGGCTCCAGGATGACTAAGATGGCCCCAAGAGGCCCTCAAGACGCCCCAAGAGGACTCCAGGAGGCCTCCCTAGAGAACCCAAGAGGCATAAATCGATGGTCTGCCTGCGGTGCTTGAAGGATTTCCCAAGACTGCCCAAGAGGCACCCGAGATGGCCAAAGACGGCCCCAAGAAGAGGAAGACCACGAACTGAGATTCCGAGCCCTGCCAGACAGGCCTACAAGAGTCCTCTGACCTACAGCCTAGGCGCGTTGGCGGGATGAGCCGAAGGCCATCAGATACGTCTCTCTTCTATGTCTTTCTCTGATGTACCTATATTATCTTCTCAATGGTGATACACTGTGTCTGCATTGTATTGCGTGTGTGTTGCAATATGTATACATTGTTGTTGCTTTGTGGTTACAATAAGTCTGCAATGATGTTGGATTACTGCCGCGGTGCATTGCATTGATTTTGCATTGCTTCTGTATTGCGCTGTTGCCTATTGCAGTGCACTGAACCGCGTTACCTCGCATTTCAGTGCAGTGCTATGCCTTGTTTGTGCACGAATGTCAATTGCTGCTTCAATGGAATTGCAATATTCTAGTTTCTCCCATGGCATTACTTTGTTTTTCATGCAGTCTGTAACCTGTCCCTTAGCTGAAGAAAAAGACCCGGATAAGGCTCGCGCGCGCAAGGTTCGTTTGTGGCGCGGCCCTGCATAGCTCGTGTCTTTGAGAAACAGTCAATCACGGCGTCCACAAGATCCAGCAAACATCGCAATAACTGCGGCTAAATAGTTGTTGTGGTGTGTGTGCCTGTGTTTGCGTGTGGCTCAAACTGCCAATGGCGGTTCCTCGTCGGCATTCCTATCACATAGCCTTGCTAAGATGCGATTCAAGTTCACAGACATCTCCCACCCGTCGGCATCGCCGTAATATTCCTGCACAACTGCAACCCTTCGAAAACCGCAGCGCTCGTATAGACGGTGCGCAGAGAAATTGCCTGGGCGAACCATGAGCATTATGTTCGTGGCCTCGGGATCTCGTCCCATACCCTGCTCTGCAACATGCATCATCAAATGCTCGCCAAGGCGTTCGACAGTATTCGAAATCCTGGGCGTGATTCTCGGTGCCAGTCATGCTTCCAAGCACAGTATCCGATGATAACGAGGCTGGGATCAATTGCCACGTGCACAAAGGTCCCAGAGGAAGGTAACTGGGCAAGCTGAACCCACATGTGAAGAGTACGCTCCGATGCAGCAAAACATGCGTGTTCGATGCAGTACAGCTCGGCATGATCAGAAGGTTGGCAACGGCGAATGACGCATCTAGTCGACGGTCTTCTGGGAACAGAATTGGTCCAGCGGCCGCTGTCCGCTGATGAAGATGACAATGACCTCGTGACACCTGCTTCCATCAGCTACTACAGTAAGGTGGGCATGATCGTGATGTCGATTAACTGAGCTCAGCTACAGGGTAGCCGTATAACACTGTGCATGGGTCAGTCCAAACCTTGAGCCAAAGTGGCTGGAAAAAAACTGCTTCAGCGAAACTGGTTACGGATAAACACTGGCAGCGTTCTTGGGGGCCCCAACTTTCAACATGCCCGCAGATGGTCCACGGGGCCCGTCCTGTAGCAGCCGACATCGGGACACACGTGTTCCCCTGAGAATTCAACACCACCTGTGTGAACACGTGTCCAATAGCTTTGCAATACCTCGGCGAAAGGGTTGGGCACATCGGCGTTTCCGGAAGGCAGAGGGCGGAGGTAGATCGCTGATGCACGCATGCATATACACAACATGCGCATACAACATCTCAGAAATGCGTATTCCTATATATGCACATCTCTGTGTATGTGTTTATGCGCATGCCTATATGCACTCATGTGCACACTTGTCGAACATTCACACGTGCGTGCAACAACCAAAACCCTGCATGACTTGACACTTTATCATATAAGCGTGCTGTCCAAAGGTGGGATGTATCTTCCTGAACACGTCTTGGTCTTGGGCAAACGCTCTGGATGCACGACGGGCAACAGAGCATATTTGCAGGAGAGCCCAGAATCGAATCCATAATTTGGATCTGCAATCGAAATGAATCGGATCGGCAAAAATCGGCAGCCGAGTCGGGAAATATCGAATCTGCGGAGGTCGGCAGGCCGGTAGGCCTCCGCTGAGGCACAGGAGCCCAGATCGGAAGCCCAGGTCGAATAGAATGGGAATCGGAGGCCATCGAAGCCGAATCGTATCGAATCGGAGGGATCGAAGTGAGCCCTTTATTTATGTTGCCCCCATCGTACTTAAGGACCACATCCCAGAAATAATGCCGAGCACCCCGAAAAGTGTCGAAAGAGTGTCGAAACAGTGTCGGACGAGCGTCTCTCAGGGCCCGACACGTGAAAGCCCTCGGGCGCAGGTTGGAATATCGCAACCCTCTACTCAGCGACGGCGGGGTGCAGCGACGCTGCAGAACGCCCTGCGGCTGGCCCGCACAGTGCTTGGAGAGGCCGACTGCACAGGCGCTCCGACGACGCGGGGCTCGCGAATTCCCGGCGGCTGCGCGCGTCGACCCCCTCTCCCCCCTCGATCTGAAAGGGGAGCGGGGGAGGCGGAGGCGGAGGCGGAGGCGGAGGAGGAGGGAGGAGGAGGAGGATGAGGAGGAGGAGGAGGGAGGAGGAGGAGGAGGCGGAGGAGGAGGAGGGAGGGAGGAGGAGGAGGGAGGAGGGAGGAGGGAGGGAGGAGGAGGGAGGGAGGGAGGAGGAGGAGGAGGAGGAGGGAGGAGGATGGAGGAAAACTCGGCCTCGGACCTGCAGCGTGCACGCCGGCGAAAAGGCGCGCGGCAGGCAAGCACCGGAGGGCGCCGTTGTGTGATTGAAACTCGAGCGGCGCGAGGAGGAGGGGGGGGAGGAGGAGGAGGAGGAGGAGGAGGAGGAGGAGGAGGAGGAGGAGGAGGAGGAGGAGGAGGAGGAGGAGGAGGGAGGGGAGGAGGACGAGGAAGAGGAGGAGGAGGAGGGAGGAGGGGGAGGAGGAGGAGGAAAAAGGAGGAGGGGGAGGAAGAGGAGGAGGAGGAGGAGGTAGGAGGGGTAGGAGGAGGAGGGAGGAGGAGGAGGAGGAGGAGGAGGAGGAGGAGGAGGAGGAGGAGGAGGAGGAGGAGGGTCGAGAAGGACGAGGAGGTTCGGCGAGGGGCTCTCGCTGTCGGGCCCTTCCTCAGGTCTCTACGGTTTTTGGGGGCCGCGGAAGGCAACCTGCGACGAGGTGTTCTGCCTTTAGGCTTTCGTAGGAGGCCTCCGAGATAGGGTCCGCACGGATGGGGTCGGAGGATCGCGCCGCATCGGCGATGCATCGGCGACACATCGGGGATGCATCGGCGACGCCAGAGCGAATAGAATCTGGCTCCACATCGGGCCGCATCGCCGATGCACCGTCGATGCGGCGCGACCTTTCGACCCCATCTACTCGGACCCCATCTGGGAGGCCCAAAATTCGGGATTTCACACGAGGGGGAGGGGGATGTGGTCCGGGTGCGGAGCTGGGGTTGGCGGGAACGGGAGGAGGAGGAGAACATATGGAGGCAATAGGGATAGGGAGGCAGTGACGGGAGCGGGAGGGCGAGAACGAGGGAGGCGGAGGGCCCCCCCAGAGCCTTGCGAAGTACACGGAATCCCCCTGGAGGCACACACACACACACACACGCGCGCACTCACGCACGGACGGACGCACGCACGCACGCACGCACACAAAGATAGGGGGCCACATGCGAACCCTACCCCTACCCCCAACGATTTCTGAGGGGGAGGGTGGGGTACACTTCGTTCGGGAGCTTCCGAGCGAAGTGAACCCCACCCTCCCCCTCAGAAATCGGGGGGGGGGTAGGGGTAAGGTTCGCATGTGGCTCCCTAAAAGACACACACACACAAACGCGCACGCGCACTACAGCCCGCCCAAGCCACGCACCGTATTCCCACCCCGCAGCCCTCTTCCTCCCTCCTCGCACCTCCCCTCGCCTCCTCGGGCGGGGAGGAGGGGAGGCTCATCCTCCTCGCCCTCCCTCGAAAATCGGTCCCTGGACCGTGCTGGGGAATCCAGCAGTGGCGACGAACCTCCCATCTGCCCAGCCAAAACATAAAACAACATTATAGGGAGCAGGCAACAGATGTCCTCGATCTTCCCCTGATCCAGCTCATCCTTCTTTCATCTCCTCCTCCTCCTCCTCTTCCTCCTCCTCCTCCTGCTCCCCCCGACCTGATGCGTTCAAAATCTGTCCACAGACTCCTTATGGGCTCCATCATGGCCCGATGTTTCACCCCAGATCGATTCCTGACGGCCCTGGGGCCCTAAACGGACAACAGAAGGCTTCCTGCACGATCGTTTCGATCCTCGACTTTCCCTCTCGAAGTCGTTCTTAACATCTTCGCCAAAGGCCTGTCACTGGAGCTGCACCCACCAACTGCCCCCCCCTACCATGGTGACGCCACGATTCGCGACGGCGCCGTCTGAGAATGGCCAGAGGTACCCGATTCTCAGTCCGACCTCGCGCAAATCGTCATATGAATGAACGCCACCAGTAACGCCTGCTATCGCCAGAGGATGAACCAACAACTCATGCTTCAAAGCCCCCTCCCTCTTCCCCCCTCATCGTACCTCACACTCATGATCTACCCAGCCCTCCCATTCCTAGCTCGCCCTCATCTTCCTCCTGTTCCTGCTCATGAGTGCCTCGTCCCCTCCTCCCTTTACCTCGCTCTCCTCCTACCTCGTCCTCCTGTTCCTCCTGTTCCTCCTGTTCCTCCTGTTCCTCGTCCTCCTCCTCCTCCTCACTCGGCCTCCTCCTCCTCCTGCCCCGCCCCGCCCCTCTGCCTCGCCCTCTTCCTGCCCCCCCCCCCCTCCCTCCTCCTCCTCCTCCGTGACTCCCCGCGCCTCCCCGCCCCCCCCCCCTCGCCTCGCCTCGCGCCTCGCTTTGGACGCCCGAAATGGGTACGGAAAGAATGGGTACAATGCCCACACAGCAAATGTCGTTCCAAACCAACAGCGGCCGCTGTTGGGCGGGCGGCCTTCTGTCTCGAATGGACGCAGGCCGCGGCGGCGCGGACAGCGAGCCCTGTTCAAAGTGAACAGGGACTGTTGTTGGGCATCGTACCCATTCTTTCCGTGCCCATCTCGGGCGTCCAAACTCGCCCTCCCGCGCCGGAGCCGGAGCCGGAGCCGAAGAGGGCGGAGGCCGGAGAGGGCGGAGAGGGCGCGCCTGCTCCAGCTCGACGCCCAGGCGCTTCGTCTCCGTGGCCGCGACGCGGCTCTCCTCGGGCGGACGGGGGGGGTTGTCTCTTGGGATCTCTTCCTGGCCAGCACTGCCACCTGGCCCTGGGAGCCGAGGCCCCCAGACCAGGAGGAGGGGGAGGGGGAGGAGGAGGAGGAGGAGGAGGAGGAGGAGGAGGAGGAGGAGGAGGAGGAGAGGAGGAGGAGGAGGAGGAGGAGGAGGAGGAGGAGGAGGAGGAGAGGAGGAGGAGGAGGAGGAGGAGGAGGAGGAGGAGGAGGAGGAAGATCAGGAAGTGGAGGAGGAGGAGGAGGAGGAGGAGGAGGATCAGGAGGAGAGGGTCTTCCTGGGCCCTGCACTGCCACCTCAGAGGCCTCCTCCATTGGCTCGGAGTTAGATGGGGATCGGAGGATCGCCTCGCATCGGCAATGCATCGGCGATGCACCGTCGACGTCGGCGATGCATCGGCGACGTCGTCGTGAAGCAAATCGGGCACCACATCGAGACGCGTCGGTGATGCATCGGCGATGCATCGGCAGTGTATCGGCGATGCATCGGCGATGCGGCGCGATCCTCCGACCCCGTCTCGGAGGCCTGGGCACCTGGCCTGGGAGCCGAGGCCCCCAGACCAGGTGGCCAGGGTTCACCCCACGGACGACGGGGCTATCTGTGGAGGAGGAGGAGGAGGGGCAGGGATCGAAGCTCGGGACTAACATTGTGGAGCGTGTCTCAACCCCTTTCTGCGTGGGCCTCCGGGGATCATGCTCAGCGGTGGACGAGGAGGGCGCAGGGAGGATAGGTCGGTCGATGGGACTGGAGAGAGTCTGCTCCAGGCTTCGGGCGGAGGAAGATCCTGGACTGCGGGCCTCGTGAGCTCCAGCCATGGCTGCCAACCCCTTTCGTGCGTGGCGATCTTCAAACGTCGGACGTTCTGGACGTTCCCGAAACCTACTTCCTGGCCGTCCACCGGCGTCGGCGCCTCGTCTCGAGCCTCGGCGGCGCGCCACCGGGGGGGGGAGGCAGAAGGGGGAACCGGCCGTCTCGGAGGGCAGGCGAGCCCAGAATCGAATCCACAAGCCGGATCGGCGATCGAGATGAATCGGATCGGCGGAATTCGGCAGCCAAGTCGGGAAAAGTCGAATCGGCAGAGATCGGCAAGCTAGACTAGGCCTCCACTGAGGAGTCGGAAGCCACCTCGGAGTCCGGAGCCAAATCGAATCGGAATCGGAGGCCTTCGAAATCGAATCGACTCGAATGGGAGAAGAATTGGACTGAGCCCTGCAAAGGGAGAGCGGGCCTTCTCAGACGGCGGCCCCCGGGCCGTGCTCTGGCAGCCCCACGGGGGGCCCGCGGGGGGGCCCATGGGGGAGCCCGGCGGCGGCGAAACGCCTAACTCTGCCGCCTCCCGGTTAGCTGACGAAGACCGGTATTGGCTCAACTGCTCCGTCGCCGTCGGAGGAGGACGAGGAGGACGAGGAGGAGGAGGAGAAGGAGCATGAGGAGGAGGACGACGAGGAGGAGGACTTGTGTAAAACCAAAAGTCATCAATGCCCCCACGGCGGCAGGTGGGGGCAACGAGAAGCTGCGCAGCCGCCCCCGGGGCGCGCGCCCCCGAGAGCGGCAGCGCTGCTGCGGTGCCGCTCCTCGCCCGCCCTCGGGGCCCGCGCGCACCACGACGGCCCGAGCACGCGCGCGCGCGAGGTGGCGGCGCGGAACTGCGTAAACATAAGCTTGTGGGCGCTCCGCGCGGATCTCTTGGACCTGCGCTGGCCTCCCCTCCCTGGCGCGGACCGCGCCAGGGGCGGCGCCAGAGGCGACGCCGGGGGTGCCCAGGCGGGGATCCCAAGAAGGCCGTGTGTAACGCCAGAAGTGCATAGTTATTGCGATTTGCTCTTTTTTCTTATTCTGCTTATTATTTGTCTTGTGACTACTGTTATTAGTTTTCTTCTTCGACCTCCTTCCCTTCCTCCCAACTCTCCACGTCCTCCTTCTCGCCCCCCTCCTCTTCTTCTTCCTCCTCCTTCTCCTCCTCCTCTTCCCTTTTTCCTCCTTCGGGGAAAACTTATTGCTTTTCCTTCGAAACACGGCGGCGGCGCGGCGGTCCCGCTGCGATGCGCGCATGGCGCGCTCCAGCTGCAGGCGCTCGGCCTCCGCGTCCCGGCGGGCGGCGGAGGCCACCTCGTGCCGGGACCTCTCCTCGCCGCGCGTCGGAGGGGGAGGAGGAGGAGGACGAGGAGGAGGAGGAGGAGGAGGAAAAGGAGGAGGAGAAGGAGGAGGCGGAGGATGAGGAGGGGGAGGAGGAGGAGGAGGAGGAGGAGGAGGAGGAGGAGGAGGAGGAGGAGGAGGACGAGGAGGAGGAGGAGGAGGAGGAGGAGGAGGAGGAGGATGCCCGCGGGGTAAGGCAGCTGTGTCGAACCACAACCACCCCCGCGCGCGCCCCCGCGCGCGCCCTCGCCTCGGCGCGGTCACGCGCCCGAGGCCGTCAGGCAGGCCTCGGCCTCACCTCGTGCAGCCCGCATCAGCCTCGCCACCTTGGCGGCCATGCCAGGCGAGCAGCTTCTCTCGCTCGCGCGGCGCCTCGGCCTCGGCCACACGCCGCCGCCGCCCGCAGCCCCTGCTTCGCTTCGAGCAGCAAGGCCACCTGCAGGCGGCTGGGACCCCTCCTGCAACCTGGCCTCCTCGGCCACTCCCCCGCCGCCCGCAGCCCCTGCTTCGCATCGAGCAGCAGAGCCACCTGCAGGCGACTGGTGCAACTCCTGCATCCTGGCAACCTTGGCCTCACGCTGCCGCGACGGCGCCGCGCTGCACGCGCGCCTGCTGCGCCTCTGGGGCGCACCTCCTGCCTTGCCGCCCTCAGGCGGATCCCCCCTCGTGGTCTCCAGCAGCACGTTCACGTCGACGTCCTCCGTGCCGCTGGTCAGCACCTTGCTCACTCCTCCTGGATCACCTGCTTCGGCCATCTCCTGCGAGCTGCCTCCTTCATCATGTGCAGGCAGGTCTGCAGCCGTAGCCACCTGCACACCCGCGCCCGCACCTGCCGCCGCGGCGCTGGCCACCGCTGCCTGATCAGCGCGCCCTCCAGCCACATCCTCGTCCAGCAGCTCCCCGCAGAGGTCGTCGAGGCGCGCGATGGCGACTGGGACCACCCTCGCTGTGCGGGGCGCGAGCCCTCGCTGCAGCTTGGCCACCACCGCACTGCCCGACGCGGAAGGCGGCATCTTACACTCCCCGCTGAAGCCGCATGCCCTGGCGGCTCCCGCGATCCCGCAGAGGCGGCAGGCGACCAGCAGCATCCTGCGCTCCAGCTGCTCGTCCACGGTGGGGCGTATGACCACCAGGTCGTGAGCGGTGAGCCCCTGCTGCCTCAGCCTCCTGTTGGCCTTCGCCGCGTCCGCCACGATGGAGCCTGGGCATTCGCCCACTCTCTCCTCCCACCTGCAGACTTCGCACCACCTGGGCTGCCCAGGCAGCCCGCGCCAGGTGCATGCCACCTGCGCTGCTGCTGTACGCCTCTCAGGAAGAGCCCGCTGCTGCTTGACGTTGCCGTGCGTGGTGTCACTGCCGTCAACCCAGGTGCCCACAGCCGAACACCACAGGGCGACCCTGTCAACGAGGCCTCGGCTACGCGCAAAGCGCAGGCGCTCTTGTCCAGGCAGGCGTCCAGCATCGGCGGCCGCCTTGGCCGCGCGGTCGGCCAGCCGATTGCCGTACCAGTCACGGTACGACACCTTCCCAGCCGCCACCTGCTGCCTCGTGCTGTGGCTGGGCATCCACCTCAGATGCACCTCGCCGCCCAGCCCCCCACGTTCATCCAGCAGCGCCCAGGCCTGCCTCCACAGGTGCGCCCAGGAATGACCGCTAGCCGTCGTACGCACGCGCCCCGCCTGGTAGAAGCCGTCGAACACGTACTTCGAGTCCACAACCAGCACTGTGTCACCGTGCCCGTACCTCAGGGCCATGATCACTGCCGTGAGCTCGCTGCCGTTGATGTCGACGTACGGGCCAACCACCTGTCCAGCGATCGACGCCCTGTACACATCCTCATTCTCCCTCAGCGCGACAGCACTCCAGCCTGCCGACGTGAACTCACCGTAGTCCGCCTCGAACACCGAGCCGTCCAGGAAGAGCTCCCCAGCTGGTAGAACGCCCTCCTCATGTTCGCCCTTCCAGCATACCAGGTCGCTGGCCTGAGGCTTGCGCAACCCTCTCGGCAATGGCCACAGAAACCTCTCCAGCAGCAACTGGATCCCAGGCTCCTGCCATCTCCTCCTGAGGTCTTCGAGGTCTGGGGGAAGGGCCAGCACCTCTCGCCAGCTAGCACAGTCACAATGCCTGTGGATCAGGGTGCCCTCCAAGCCGCACCTTGGACACCCCGCGCAATTGGCCAGCCCTTTCTCCGCCTTCCGTGCCCGCGTCCACTGCCCGTTGTCGATCAGGGACCGCAAGTACGCGATCTCGCGCTGCGTGAGCCGCACCTTGACTTTGCCAGCCCCTCCTCCCTGCAGCCCCTCGGGGTGGAGCACTCTCCCTGTGGTGGTCAGCCTCACCAGCGGCTCGAGCTCCTCGCCCGCTGCCAGGTGACTGCACCCTGGGTCTTTGCTGACCTGCCTCCACTGCCACCGGAGGAGGAGGAGGAGGAGGAAGAAGAGGAGGGGGAGGAGGGGGAGGAGAAGGGGGAGGAGGAGGTGAGTGGGGGAGGGAGGAGGAGGAGAAGGAGGAAGAGGAGGATGAGGGGGAGGAGAAGGCGAATGGTTTTTGGCCTGGCGGGCAATGTCTGCTGCGCTGAGCTCGGTTTGCGCGCCTACTACCTTACGACCGCGCGTGAGCTGAATGAGCGAGTCCCCTCGCCGAGAGGTACGTCTGGAGGGGGACTGGGGTGGACTCGGAGGGCCTGTCTGAAAAGATAGAGGAGGCGAGGAGGCAACGGAGACGGCTGGAGCCGACCGCCTAGCCGGACAGTTCGGGAGCGCCGCTGTCGTCCCCCCGACCCTCGCCGGAAGAACCCAAGGCGTCCCCGAAGCGAGTCAAATGCGAACGCACCTAGCGGCACCGGCCGATCGTCTGCGATCAACTGGTCAGTGCGGGGGTTTCGCGACTCCCATAAACGATCGAGTCGGAAAGCCGTGGCCGAGCCTCGCAGGACGCCCCAGAGGAAGACATCGCTAAAGAAACTGCGTTCTCATGATAATAGCTGTCACAACCACTGCAGACCACATAATTGTGCACACAGTCCACAGCCTGCGCCGTGTACCCACACCCTCGCACTTGGCCAGAAGGCTGTGTGGATCAAGGCCGCTGCGCATGCACCGCATGCAACGGTACCGCCCGTGCAAATCTACAAGGTCGTGGCGGCCGTCGCACAGGGCGCTGCGCCCGGGTGCGCCCAAGACACTTGGAATCAACCTGTACAAGTTGGTGAGCACCGATGACCCTCCGCTCGGCCTCGAGACTTCTGGGGTTGAGGGTTGCACCTGCTTTGGCTGTGGTGTTGGCCTGCCGATTGCCGAGGGGGAAAATCGAGCATCGTCGGAGACTCTGGCATGCCCTTTGACTTTAATTAAGAACCTGAAACTCAACCTGGGAGTCGTCAAGGGTGTCCAAATCATCGTCCGCAAATTCGGCCGCCACGCAGCCCGAGTGAGTGGTCTCTGTCCTGCCTTTTGGCGCCAGAATTCACGACCCACAGGCAGTCAGAGAAAAACATGATGTCGCCAGCACCGCGGTGCCGGAGACAAGCTAACAAAGCCCATCCTTCGGCGATCTCTGAATCCTGCTTCCGGCCTGGCACTGGGCCGTGCGTCGAACAAATCATTGTGCCTGGAGGGTCGATCTGCACCACTCCCCGCACTGCCCTACCAACCCCGAAACCCCCCTGCACGATGGATGGAACCGAGCCGTCGCCGAAGACATCACCCTCCAGGAGCCCTCCGCGCGGCCGAACGTGCCAGCGCACTGGAAATTCAAGACCTGGGGGGGGGAGGAAGTGCCGAGGGTCGGGCACGAGAGCGCGACGCCACAGGCACCATTCAGGATGCGCCCGTTCAGCTGCCTTCATCCTGTCAGCCGTGTCGTAATCGCGTCGCCACAGCCGGGTGACGCGGCAGTCACCCCAGGACGCACGCTGCAGAGTGCCGTCTGGTCCGCCGCAGCACGGGTAGCACGCGGAGGCCTGCAACCCTGCAGCGTGCCGACGAGCAACGCCCACGATGCCGTTCCCGACGATCGCCCGCACGAGACCACAATGTCGCCTACTCCAGTCGGCACTCGGGGAGCGCGTGGCCAGAGCGCGTAACGGCTCCAGGCACGGCTCGTTCGGCAGGTCGCGGAGATAGTGGTGGCGGTCCATGTCGCCGCACAGCAACCGCCTCTCGAGCGAGCGCCGCGCCAGGACAGCGACCGCATTGGGACACGTCTCGGTCATGTTGATGGTGATGCCGCCGTCGGTGCAGAGAGTGAGCGCACTGCGAACGACATGCCATCCCATGCGCCTGGCAGGAGCAACAGCCGCCCCCACGGGGCCCTTGACCAGCAGTCAGATCTTGCCGTGGTCGCAGTTGGTGGATGCCGCATCCGCATCGTAGGCGAGTCTCATGAGCCAATCGCGCCGCACCCAAATGTCCCACGCGGCGCGCGCGAGGTTAATCACGGGCCCGACGGTGGACGCATATGCGGGGTCCACCGTGTGGGGCGATGCCTGCATGATCAAATCCATCGTCGCCGAGCGGCCGTGCACCCTGGGGTAATTAGAGCGCAGGGTGGGCTGCGCGCCGCAACGCCGCGGTGCGCCAGCAGGCGCGGCCCGCGATCCCGCCGCCGTGCGTGCCCACCGGCACGAGGCCCAGCGATACGAGGGAGCGGCACCGCCCTTTGGCCTTCCAGAGCACTCGTATCCTTGCTCCCCACCCAGACCCCCGACGTCATGATTTCTTCATCACGCAACCCCCAGAGGTCCGGACCCATTCCCTGGGACCGGTTTTTCGTTCTGAGTCGTTCTTTGACGGTCCCGAGGCCTGGCAGGGGCCTCCGGAGGCCGAAAATGGCGAAAAGCCTCCTGTCGTGATTTTTTCCCAGCGCGAGGGGGCCTGGGCACCTCGTGCTGGGACCTCTCCTCGCCGCGCAACGGGCGGCCCGCGGGGTCGCGGGGTCGGCCCAAAGGGCGGCCCCGCGGGCGCGTGCGGCCGTGCCGGCGGCGGAATGGCGCCATCGGGCGCCATCGGCGTGTCGTCGCTGGGCCGCCTCGACCTGCACGGATAATTGAGCAGGGAACGACCGTCCCAGATTCCTATAGGCATACCACGACATGTTCTTAGAACCCAAGAGTGTTCTAAGAACAAAAACAATGTTCTTAGAACAGGTTCCCGATGTGTTAAAACAAAACGGACCCCGCCAGAAATGTTCTAGGAACATTTCGCGGAAACCAAAAGGTTCTTAGAACATTGTTTGGTGGGGCTATAGGCGAGCCAGCACGTTTCGCCACTGCTGGAGAGGTGCTGTTACTGTGGCGGTGGAGGAGGAGGATCTATTGGCTCTGTTGCCACAGGACCGCCGTCCGACGGAGGAGGAGTAGGAGGAGGAGGAGGAAGAGGAGGGGCAGAAGGGGCCACGCGGCGGCGGATGAGAAGGCGTGTGGAGGACGGGGCCAGGGAGGGGGATAAGGACGAGGGCGGTGGCGGTGAGAGAGGCAAGAATCAGGCCGCGCGCCCAGCAGCGGCAGCCTCAACCCCTCCAACACAACCGAACATGCCGCTCGCGAGCGGGTGGCCGAGGTGGATACTGAGGCCAAGGACTAAAACAACAGTCCATGTCACCCGAGAGAAAGATGGCAAAGACGAGAAGGAAAAGACACAACAAGACCTCGCCGTGTTGCCTCGCTCTCTCCAGCTGCCGCCCCCATGGAGGAAGCGCCACGCCCAGCACCAGGCTCAGACCTCATACTTCGCAACCGCGGGAGCATTAAGCGTGTGGTTGCACAAAGGATCTTACGGTCAGGTATCTATGTATAGCGTGTATTGGGAAAAATGTCTATACACGCTAAGTGTCTTACACTTAGCGTGGAACCTAGTTCGCCTCACTTAGCGTGTTTTGGGAAGGCTGTGGACGTCCTTGGGAAGGAAGGCTGTGGTGAGGAAGAGGTGGAATTGAAATTTGGCACATTCCTCATCGACCACTCCGTCCGAAGGCCACTATCTAGTGGCCTTCGGACGCCGCAGAATTATTGAGCTGCTTCCCCTGCAGCATGGTATTCGTCGATGATCAATGTTGGTTTGTGTGAGGGTGCGCGCGGTCGCACTGCTCGCTCGTCTGCGATTTTGATAATTTCCAAGCGTGGCGCAATTAGGTGCGAGTTCCGCCGCCCCCCGGCGAATTTCGCGTTGGACGATGCTGCAATTGGGCACGTGCTTCCTGCGCCCGCGGTGTACGCGCGCGCGTTCCAACGCGCTCAATCGCGCCCGCCATGAACGCGACGCCAACAAACGAAACAAACAAGCGGCGCAGTTTTTTCTTGAATGGGCCAGGCGCGTAGCAGTTCACAGTTCGCGGTCATCGAACGATGGTCCACAAATTGAGTCCCTAGTGGAGCTCCGCTAGTGGAGTCCCATGAGCAGCCGCCCAGGCGCCATCCCTGTACACGCTAAGCGCGGTGGAAGTGGCGTTCGTTGTTTCGTGGAATAGGATAGGGAACTGGGTCAGTGAGTTGCACCCCCTGCAGCACGGCGCTCGTCGACGACCAAGTTGGGCTTGCACGCGAGGGAGAGAAAATGAGAGAGTGAGAGAGAGAGAGAGAGAGAGAGAGAGAGAGAGAGAGAGAGAGAGAGAGAGACAGACAGACAGACAGACAGACAGACAGACAGACAGACAGACAGACAGACACACAGACACACAGACACACAGACACACAGACACACAGACAGACAGACAGACAGACAGACTCTGCGCACCAAGTCTGTTCGGGGAGGAGCATTAGCAAGGGCGCAGGCAAACCCGCGCCAGCACACAGGCGCAGCCTGCTGCTGGCGCCCCACCCCGGGAGAAATCCCAGCAGGACTTCTCCCAGGGGGCGGGAATTGCCCGCACCCAAGCCGACGCCCCGGCGGCACCCGCCCTGCGCAGCCCTCCAGCCGCCGGCCAGCACAGCAGGTGGCCGCCCGCCAAGCAGTGCGCCGCCGCCGCCGCCGGGGCGCCAGGCGCCCGAGGCGCTGCCGCCGCCGCCAAGTCGCCAGGTCGTCAGCCGCCCGAGGCGCCGGCCCGCCGCGCCTGTCTCCACGCCAGCTCGTGGCAGCGGCGCAGCGCCGGCTCGCGGTGGCGCCCGGCGCGGCAGGACTCCGGCGCAGCCAGCCGAGCAGCGCCGCCGCCGTCCGCGCCGCGCCGCGCCGCCGCCGCCCACGTCGCGCCGCGCCGCGCCGAACAGCGCGGCCGCAGCCGCCGTCGCCGCGGGAGCCTCAGGCGCCCCCGGCGCCGCAGTCGCCGCCAGCGCCCCGGCGCCGGCGCGCCGCCGCCGCCGCCGCCGCTTCAGCTGCCCCAGGTGGCCAGGCGCCAGCGCGCCGCCCGCGGTCAGCTCAGCGCAAGCCAGCGGCCGCGCGCAGCTGCCGCGCCAGCTCGCCATGCAGGCCGCAGGAGAGCACGCGGTGCGCGCGGGCGAGCTCGCGGGCCTGCTCGGACAGCCAGACAGACAGACAGACAGACAGACAGACAGACAGACAGACAGACAGACAGACGGAGAGACGGAGAGACGGAAAAGCGGCGCAGCCGCCTCTCTTGTAGTCACCGCCGGGGCTCATGACAGTTCGGCGCGTCGCCGCCGCCATCGCGCGAGGACCCACCATTGGAGCCCCGCGCGGGGCTCCGCTAGTGGGGCCCTGGAGCCGCCACACAGGCGCCATCCCTGTACACGCTAAGCGCGGTGGAAGTGGCGTTTGTGGCGGATCTGTTTTTGGTGCGCGTGCGTGCGCGTGCGTGCGTGCGTGCGTGCGCGTGCGTGCGTGGCGTGGTGGGTGTTGGCGTCGGTGGCGGTGGTGGTGGTGGTGGTGGGAGGGTAGGTGGGTGGGTGGGTGGGCTGGGCGGGGTGGTGGTGGCGGGGCGGGGCGGTGGGGGGTGGCGGTGGTGGCGGTGTGGTGGCGCTAGTGGGGGGTCCTGAAATTTGGAGCTGCGCCCCCTGTAGCGTGGCGTTTGTCGCTGATCAATTGGGCCTTCGTGCGAGTGCACTTGGTCGCAGTGCTAGCGCGGCAGCGATTCTGATCGTTTCCGATTGCGGCGCAATTCGTTTGAGCTCGGCCGTGCCAAGGCCCAATTTGGCCACTGCTTCCTGCTGCATGCGCCCCAAAAGCGTTTGATAGCAGGAATTTCGAGCTGAATCAAGGTCGGCATGACTTTTTGGGGCTGCAGTGGTTTCCTGCCAAGTTCGTTTTTCGGAGCGCGGCCCCAGACCGCAACCATCATCAAAAACAGTGCCTCCCCCTTAACCCCCACCATGAGAAAAAAAAACAGAGAGAGAGAGAGAGAGAGAGAGAGAGAGAGAGAGAAAGAGAGAAGCGGCGCAGCCGCCCCCCCCCACCATGAAGACCACACCCCCAAAAAAAAGAGAAGCGGCGCAGCCGCTTCTCTTTTTTTATGGCCCGGGCGCAGTTTGACGCCTCGCGGCCATCGCGCGAGAATCAACGATTCGAGCCCCCGTTGGATGCTCCGCTAGTGGAGTCGCAGGAGCAGCCGCCCAGGCGCCAAGTTGCGTTTGCGATGGGCTGGGGGCTTGCTTGGGTGGTGTGCGTGTGTGCGTGGGGCGGGGGGGGGGGCGGGAGAATTCGGTGTCGAATTGTTGAGCTGCTTCCCCTGCAGCATGGTATTTGTCGATGACCAATGTTGGTTTGCGTGAGGGCGCGCGCGGTCGCAGTGCTCGCGCGTCTGCGATTCTGATAATTTCCAAGCGCGGCGCAATTTGGTGCGAGTTCGGCCGCTCCCGGGCGAATTTCGCGTTGGACGATGTCGCAATTGGGCGCGTGCTTCCTGCGCCCGCGGTGCACGCGCGCGCATTCCAACGCGCTCAATCGCGCCCGCCATGAACGCGACGCCAACAAACGAAACAAACAAGCGGCGCAGCTTTTTCTTAAATGGGCCAGGCGCGTAGCAGTTCACAGTTCGCGGTCATCGAACGATGGTCGGCAAATTGAGTCCCTAGTGGGGCTCCGCTAGCGGGGTGCCATGAGCAGCCGCGCAGGCGCCATCCCTGTACACGCTAAGCGCGGTGGAAGTGGCGTTCGTTGTTTCGTGGAATAGGATAGGGAACTGGGTCAGTGAGTTGCGCGCCCCCTGCAGCACGGCGCTCGTCGACGACCAAGTTGGGCATGCACGCGCGAGAGAGAGAGAGAGAGAGAGAGAGAGAGACAGAGATAGAGACAGAGAGAGAGAGAGAGAGTGACAGACACAGACAGACAGACAGACAGACAGACAAGCCCCGTGCGGGGCTCCGCTAGTGGGGCTCTGGAGCCGCCG